CTATACAGAAAAGAAGTCGTACGAAGTACACCCTTCTTCATGATTCAGAAGACTCACAGAGGAGATGGGTTTCTGCACAGTTTATATACAGTTCATGTAATATCAAAGCGGTAAAAGGCAACCAATTAGCACATTGAGCCAAAACATGTAACAAAATCAGATAAACCAAATATAACAATTTATATAAGCTCGAATTTCTAACCCTGAACCAGTGGTTCTGGGTCATACCAAATCCCCAGCGGAGTCGCCAGAGCTGTCACACCTCCTTTTTCCGCCCCCGCGAGGGGTGAAGGAGTTTTTTCCAATTAAAGGACAATCGAAACGGGATTTGTTTATTTATTTCAGAGTCGCCACTTGGGAGATTTAGGGTGTCCCAAGTCACCAATTTAATCCCGAATCGAGGAAAAGAATGACTCNNGCGCTTTTATTATTATATTTTAAAAAGAATGTGAACATCGTTTAAAAACATGTCTTTGGATTGCGTCACATGAAATGCACCCGCAATCCGGAACACAGTTTTATTCAATGTTTTGGGATTTGGATTTGGGTCGCATGAAATGCGCACCCGAGTTTAAGAAGATAAGATTAATTAACTCGCGCCTAAAGAGTCTAACGCGTTATTGTCTTTGGGGAAGGCAATGAAATTCACTAAACAGTTCATCCCAAATTCTAAGTATTTATTATAACCAATTATTGAGGGCCCCGCAATTTGTATTTTTATTTGGTGAGGCTCGTCTCATTATTTTTAAAAGGATAATCTTAGCATGACTATATTTTCTATTTTTCATTTTCTAAAATAAATGAAGATAAGGTCCTACTTTATTTACATACTTTCGAGTTATTATAGTTAAGTTTCGAAAGTGAGTTGTTTAAAGAGTTTACATGGTAACGCATGGAACATTATACATACAGACAGTAAAAGAAAGAAAAGACTACATTAAATTACAACTTCAAATCTTTCTCATTTTTGCATTCATGCTTCGAGTGGCTTACAAGATGAACCAGTGTATCAGTTTGTGTACCTGGTATTTGGAAAGCAAGGAAAGAAGATGAAGATCAGTAGAANATTGCAATTACCATTTTACCCCTGAACGTACTGCAATTTACCAAACTACCCCATCAGCTATAACCAATTCACCTAATCAATCTCAACCAAAATATAGCAAATATGACCAATTTCTAAACAAATTCAACAACAAATCACATGAACACAAATTCAACAACATCAAATTAATGTGAATAAATTAGCCATATTGGGAACCAATCCTGGTTAACTTAGACCAAAAATGAATGAGCAAAAGAGACAACAATATTAACAACAAAGATATATGATTCAAACTAAATCAACAAGTCAAAAACCAAAACAAACTCAAATTAAATTACTGGATGAACTTCAAACAAAGAATAAACATGCATTAAATCCATATTAAATAACAAACATGATGGATTCAAATGATTTAAACTAACACTCTTCTATACTAAATCCTTTTAAAATTAACAGAACAAACTAAAGACAAAATTCATTGAACTTCAACTTAAAAATAAAAACATTATAATTACTAACAATTTCTACCTAAAAATAAACAAGAACAAATGAAACAAACATGAAACAAACTGAAGAAAAATAAGAAAAACGATAAACACGAATTGGTTAAACCACTAACCGGATTGGAACGACGATAAACTTGAACAACGACGAACTCGAACTATGTATGGACTGTTTCGACAAACCTCGACCAAAGCTTGAATAAGCGAAATGGTGAGTCTCTTTTTTGGACTGGAGGCGCCGGAAAAAGTCAAGCCGCGTGATTTGGTTTTAAGTTCAGCTGCTTGACAAAGCAGCAGCATCGCAGCCCAAGCAGATGCTGAACGGGCTTGGATTTGGGAGTAGCAGCGACATCATCGATGAAGCTGGACGATGCAGCAGCGACAACATCCATGGCGGACAGTGAAAACGCAGCCGCTATGGAGAAGATGAAGCAGAAGGGTCGTTCATGGCGAGGCTGTGCGACGTGTTCGTTTGGTTTCGACGAGAATGTGGTTAGTTGGTATGTTGAAGACGAAGCAAAAGATGGTGGTGCTTGGACTGGTTGTCGTTTGGACGGGGCTAAGGCAGCGACAACTTAGCAGAAGCTCGGAGATGGCAGTGGAGGGCAGTCCATGGACGAGCCTGAGCTCGCCATGGAGAAGACGAAGACGCAACAGTGGCAGCGCTAGCCATGGCAGCCATGGACGTTGGTTATTTTGGATGCGAGGTCGTCGATGGGTGCTGTGGTTGGTCGACGGAGGGGTTGTGCGTGTGTGCGAAGGTAAGGCAGAGGGGGAAAGGGTAGCTGCCATGGTTGGGGAGCTCGGGGAGTTGGAGAAGAAGAAGAGAGGGTGGGGGGCGGATAGTTTAGTTTAGGGTTTAGGTTTTTTTTTTTTTTTTTGTTTTTGTTTTGTTTTGGGAAAAAATGAAAAATGAAGAGGGGTTAGGTATTGGGGTTATGGGGCGGACCGGGTCGACCCGTGTGGAGATGGACCGGGTCATGGGGAAGGTTGGGTATTCTTGGGCTTGTAGCTTGAATTAGAAGAAGAGCCCAAATCCGATTTTTTTGTATTTTTTGCTCTCTTTTCTTCTTTTATTTTTCTAAAACTAAATTCTAAAAATCCTTAAATTATTATTAAGAACTAAATTAAGTTATAAAAGCGCAAATTAACTCCCAATAATAATTAACGCACAATTAAGTAATAATTAAACATAAAATTGTACAATTGAACATTAAATGCTAAAAATGCAAAAGATGCCTATTTTTGTAATTTTCAATTTTTGTAAAACAAACTTAATTACTAACAATTGTAGAATTAAATCTTACATGCAAAATGCGACATATTTTTGTATTTTTTATTAATTTAACAAATAAACATGCACAGACAAATACAAATAATTATCAAAAAATGTCACAAAAATTCTCAAAATTGCACACCAATAAAAATTATTTTATTTTGAATTTTTTGGGAGTAATTCTTTCATAGGGCAAAAATCACGTGCTTATAGAGATTTTGTTTGTGAGTTTGAGTTTGTATGTATGACATCCAAGATTCTTATGATTACACACAAGAAATCAAAGACTGTTTTTGCAGGAATACGAAGACATTAGCTCCCTGTTTCAGCTTTCTATCTCTCGAGTGAAAGGCTTTCTGGAGAACCATCGGCTTTCAGCTTTGCAACTGAAGGGTTTAGGGTTTAATATTGGCGATGGTGGGTGAAGGAATTGGAGAGCTCTTTATGAGAAATCTGTGGTAAAAGTTGTATCAAAGTAGAGAGAGAAAGAAAATATTGTAACTGAATAACGTATTTAGAGGCTTAGGAGTAGGAGGTAACCAAAGTTAGATATTTTGCTATAAACATTAAAAGGTATCTATAGAATATAATTTTTGTAAATGGTATTTATTTAAAATAAATAAGGTGTTAACCTTTGCTATAGGAGGTAAAAATTCTATTTAGAATTTACTCCAAATTTTGTATGGACTAAATTTAATAATTTTTACATGTCTACATGGTTATAGAGCATCAAGAATATTTAGAGAAAAGATATTCAAATTTATACTTTTCTATTTTTTTTATTTTTTCACCCTGTGTCCGGTATTTACTTTAGGTCCCAATTAATTCGGATTCGTAGCGAGAAGCCTCAATTTGGATGGTAAAATGCTTTCTGTCAAAAGCGACTTCATATTCAAATCCTGAACCCGAGATTTCTGATTTAGAGAATATACTCTTCAAATAATCTCACTACATAGCCATTTTCACGTTTCAGCATAGTTCTTGCGTCTGAGTCGATCTGATTATTGTGTCAATGACAATATGAAAAGTGGCATACCTAAGGAATAGGAAGGCTTTATTAAACTGATACAAGAAAGAATGTGCTACAATTATCCCTGGGATAACTCTTTAAGTAAAAGAAAAATTGGATGAACAATCTATGCAGTGGGTACTACAGATTTATTGATACATAGAAATTTGTAATTTTACTGTACTTAAAAAGGTAGGCCCTTTTACTAGAAAATGCATGAATTAAATAGCTCATGCCTTTTCTTTTAAATTAAACAAATTTCTACAATTTTATATTTTTAGATATTCCGGTAGTTGCCACTCTTAAAAAAAAAAGAAAGGCTGCCGTTATTAATTCTCTCTCTATAACAAACCTTCCCGCCCAACTTCCCTCTCTGCAACTAACTAGCTCTCTCACCACTCTGTGAAAAAAACGATCAAAAATTGCACCTCTCGTTCTTCATCCAAAAGCCCTGATTTCTCTCTGCTTTCAGGAGAATGGATCCTCCAATTCCAGGTTCAGTTTTCTTCATTCTTCTTATTTTTTGTTTTAAGTTTCTTCCCCATTTCTTGAATTCTTAAACGTTTGTTTGAAAATGGATGATGTTCGAAATGGCCCCAAAAATTGGAAAGAATCATTGTAAATTAGAATACAATGAGAACTCTGTTACGAGTATGTTATTGGCATGCAAAGCCCTAGTGATGAAGGTATTCCATAGGCACGCTATGCATCTTTTGATGAACTGTTATCTTATGAATATGTTATAGGCATGCAAGCCCTAGCTTTACATTTGTTAAAATTTCTACTAAATAAGTACAGATTAGATTTTGAACTTAGTAAATCAAATGATTTTTAGTAGAATTTCGAACTTGAACTTGAATCCGACTCTGTCCGGAAATTCTTACACCCACTAATGCGCATGCTTTGAATACTTAACGTGACCCTTTTAGTTATGTTGTAATTTTCTGTAATTAATTTGATAATTAAACATGTATCTGAAAATCCATTCAACTGGTTGACAGAAGACCAAGGGAATGGTGGATATCTTGATCCGATGGCGGAGAAGGCTTTATTGATGAAAAGGATAGAAGGTAGAAAAAAAGAACGTGAGAGTAACAAAAAGAAAAGATCACCTTTGAAGTGGGAGACATGGGAAGAACAAATGGATAAGTGGCTTACAAAAAATTATTCAAGAGATGTAGACTTAGGTAATACTCAGAACGTGTTGGTTCCAGCTGAAACAGCCGAGCCACCATCCGATTTTATATTGCCACTGCTAAGGTACCAAAAGGAGTGGTTGGCTTGGTCATTAAAGCAAGAAGAATCTGTAGCAAGAGGAGGTATTCTTGCTGATGAAATGGGAATGGGGAAGACTGTTCAAGCCATAGCACTTGTGCTTGCTCAACGCGAATTACAGAAATCAAATAGTAATTCCAGTATATTGTCATCTTTGCCAAGTACTTCCCAGATATTCCCAGCAGTCAAAGGAACTCTAGTTGTATGTCCTGTGATTGCAGGAATCCAATGGTTTAGCGAGATTGAACGTTGCACCACTAAAGGAAGCAACAGAATTCTTGTTTATCATGGCACCGACAGGGAGAAACATATGCACAAATTGGCGGAATATGATTTTGTTATTACTACCTACTCCACCATTGAGGTTGACTATAGGAAGTATATGACACCATCAAAGGAGCTGAGTAAGAACTTAGAACCTCGGGTAGAAGTGTTGGACCAGAAAACAGGTTCTACAGAAAATTTGAGCAACAGTGGTTCTATTGATAATTCAGCTGTGTCCAGGAGGAAGTCAGCTTTGCATTCAGTGAAGTGGGACCGCATCATTTTGGATGAGGCAAGTCATACATTTACATACCAGTAGTGGGTAGTCGAGCACTCCTCTTTTCATACCAGTAGTATTAGCACGTAGTCTCGTGTTGACTTATTTGTAGATTTCGAGTGCCATGTGCTGTTTTTTTTCCTCTTCAAGTCACTTTATTATTTGTTGTTATTACTGCTTCCTTTCATGGCTCCTACATTACCGTATCCTTTTCTTGTTATTATTGTATTTATACTTTCCTTGAGTGGAGGGTCTATTAGAAACAACCTCTCTACCCCACAAGGATAGGGGTAAGGCCTGCGTCCACACTATCCTCCCCAGACCCACTACGTGAGATTTCACTGAGTATGTTGTTGTTGTTATAATTCATACATTCACATAACGGATCATACATCCATACATATGTTGTTGCTGCCTTTAATCGACAGTCTCTCGTAGCTCTTATTTATTAGTAGCTGAGGTTTGAGAACATTTTGTATAAAATACCAGCTCTTCAAGTCAATCAATTATTAGAGTTGGAAATGTGAAAATTGGTATGGTGTACTCTTAATGAGCTATACAGTTATTAAGCTTTAGCAGAATGTTTCAGTTATTAAGCTTTAGCAAGAATGTAAGAACATGAAAATTATACCTGTCCTAAAGTTCATTATTTGCTTAACTGCTCATCACGCGAAATATTATCTGAAATTCTAGTTTGATCACCATCTTCTGACATTCTGTGCTCTCTGTTCCTATTGGATTACACTGTATGTGATTTGTAGTTTGTGCCTGTTGTAGTCATCAGTTTGGTGGTAACGCATGAAGGCATGAACTAGTCGCTGAGAGTAGATTCCTAATTGGACGTGTTACAAGATCTTTATCTGCAATGTTTTTAACTGATTGGACTTCTGTGGTATAGGCACATTATGTGAAAAATTCACGCTGCAAAACCTCAAGAGCTGTTTTTGCGTTAGAATCTTCTTATAAGTGGGCCTTAACTGGTACACCCCTGCAAAATCGTATAGGAGAATTGTACTCATTTGTAAGTTATCTTCCGTCTGCATGCTTAATGTTTTCTAGAACTTATTGTTGTGAGGTTAACTAACTAAATTCTGTACCTTTTCACAGGTTCGTTTCCTACAAGCTCCTTACGCTTATTACTTTTGCAAAGATTGTGATTGCACAGAACTTGATTATAGGTAGACATAAAGATCCTTGTTTGTCTTTGTTCCTACCCGTGAGGATGAAAGATGCAGTGGCTTAAATCTGTTTCGTTTTATAGTATCTCTTAGTGTTATTTTGCTTCTGAACCAATGTTACTAATATGTGGTTTAATGACTGTCTGAAATCTCTTATTGGTAAATTCAATGTACTACAGCTTCGCTGAGTGCCCACAGTGCCACCACAACTGCGCACGCCACTTTCTCTGGTGGAATAGAGTAAGTTAATGTGTAATTACGTCAATATACACACTTTTGAAGCTTCATCTTATCGCTAACATGGTAAAGTTGAAACATGTCCTCTTTATAGTATATTAAAAAACCTTTACAAGAAAATCCAAACAAAGGGGCTGGTAAAGATGCGATGCTTTTATTGAAGCACAATATTCTGAAAAAGCTATTGCTAAGACGTACCAAAAAGGAAAGAGCTGCTGAGTTAGCACTTCCCATGAAGACTGTAAGTTCTGTCTTGCCCTAGTGCTGTGTGCAGTTCAATTCGATTGTAGTAATCTTCTTAACAGTGTAGCTTGTTACTTATTTTTGGGTTCAGGTTACTCTGAGAAAAGATTCTTTGAATGACGAAGAACGCGACTTCTACATGTCATTTCACAATGAAAGCAAGACACAGTTCGATACGTATGCAATCTCTCTGATATTTCATTTTCAAACTCGAGCTCTTCTTCCTTGTCTTATGCATGGAATATCTTTCCTACAACTGCTTGTTGTTAAGTAGTTCTGGAACATGTAGTTTCTCGGAATACTAAATACGTAAAGATCTTATATGTCTTTTTCTTCCCATAATTCCCGATTATTTGTATCATTAACTTGCCAAAAAAGTAAGAAGGGAGCAACGATATTTTTATTTCTAACTGTATTTTTTCCCCATTTTGTATTTTGGTGCAGATATGTTAGGGTGGGAACTCTAACGAATAACTATGCTCACGTTTTTGCTATAATCACACGCCTACGGCAGGTAACAAGACAATGCTATGCATGGAACCTTAACTGTTCTTGATAATTGTAATGGATGCTTGCTTTCATCTACTTGTTTTTTCCTGATCGACTCTCTTTGTTGCTTCAATTTTACGTGTGGTGTTTTCAGTGCTAAAATTTTCTAATCAATTTGTCCATTTTTTATTGCATTCATGCTGTTTACTGCAAATGGTAGAGGCATGCTTAGTCCTAATTAAACTTCAAACTGGGCCTGATTAAGAGGCATTAGAGATTCATTATCTGCCTCTTCTCCACAGTCCTTTGGTTGAACTTCAATACATTTCTTATGTGTGCATAGAAATACATGTTCAACAGCTTCTTATATTTTCATCTTCTATTTCATATCCCATTTTCTGCTGTAGTTTTTAAATAAACATTTTCCCCTTATAATTTTATCACTATAGTATTACATTGTTTTAGTTTTATTAAAGTCTTGGATTCACAACTTGGATGGTTAGGCGTGTATTTGGAAGATAATAACGGATAGTTACCACAGTTTGATCAAGGGATTTATCAAGAGTTTAGCCAAGGGAATTATGAGACCACATCAATTAATCTGGTATGGAGAAAATATGTAAAATCGGTGGAAATATTGGACTATGGAAGACCAGTTTGATGTGCAGTCCAGCTTATCAAAGGACTGCTAAAGTTTATTAAACATGGTTGTTTGCTTAAATTGTTTTCTCATGTCAAAGCTAAATCTTTTGTCCTAGTGTTCTTTTGTGAACTTAATTTTGAAGTGACTGTTTTTAGTTTTTTAGTCCTTCTATTATGCTTGGCTATAGTATTATGTAATATTAGGTCCCCTATTACATGAACTCAAATACAAACATTGACTTTTCATTTGCTTCGTCTGATCTTGTCTCTCGAATGATATGCTTATGAGAAAGTAGTAACAGTTTAAACAATAGAAATATGCAATTTGACTTGTTACAACATACATGTTTTTGACCAATGTCCTTCTTTGATCGGCAGGCAGTTGATCACCCTTACCTTGTGGTATGCTCTAGCACAGATTTGACTAGTGTGAATAAAGATGCTGGAGATGTTGAAAAATCGTGTAGCTTATGTAAAGATACGGTGGAAGATCCAATAGTGAGTTTGCGCACCTCATGTTACTTAGCTGAAATTTAATTTGATAGATTTCTCCTTTTTGCATTTAGTACTTATTTTTCATGTTGTCCGTTCAAGGTCCAGAACTTGGAGCACCTTTCAATTGCTCATTGTCAGCCTGAATGTTGCATGCACACCCTTTAGACACTGAGATATTTATCAAAAGTACTTTGATTGTTGCAGGTTACTTCTTGCACACACGTGTTTTGCAAGACGTGTTTGATAAACTTTGCTGAAAGTAGGGGAAAACCGGCATGCCCTTCATGTGATAAACCCCTTACATTTGACTCCAATGCAAATAATGATAAGGGGGATTCTAGTTCTAAGCCTACTGTCAAAGGGTTTAGGTCCTCAAGTATATCGAACAAAATTCAGCGCGATGGATTCCAGACAAGCACTAAAATAGAAGCTTTGGTATGCAATTACCTTATACTCTATCATCATATTGCTCCTCAGTTTGCTTTTCTTCTTTGTAAAGTGAGGAGGTATGCGCAACACAAGTTTGATGTTCATTTCTACTTTTATTGAATGTAGAGGGAAGAAATTAGGTTCATGGTTGAAAGAGACGGTTCTGCAAAAGGAATAGTTTTCAGCCAGTTCACATCGTTTTTGGATCTAATACAGTACTCTCTTCAGAAAGTAAGATATAAAGATACTTTTCTCCCTTCCTACTTTCCCCTAGCTCCTTTTTTTCTATCTGTAACAAAAAGAATCTTGTCTTGTGTATATTCGGGCAGTCGGGCGTCAATTGTGTTCAATTAGTTGGATCCATGTCTATGGCTGAAAGAAATGCTGCAGTTACCACATTTACTGAAGATCCAAAATGCAGGATACTTCTTATGAGCTTGAAAGCTGGAGGTGTTGCCCTCAATCTTACAGTTGCATCACATGTAAGGGATCTATTTTCTTTCTCTGTATACGCCGACTCTTTAGTCAAATTCGAAAAGGCTTGTGCATATCTGGTGTTGCACTCTTCAGATTTCCTGTTATTTGGTTCATTTGGTATATCCAATTTCATATGCTAGGTTTTCTTGATGGATCCTTGGTGGAATCCTGCGGTGGAGTGGCAAGCACAAGATAGAATCCATCGAATAGGGCAACATAAACCAGTCAGGTGTGTTTTGCATTTTTTGTACTTTGGATGCCGTTGACTGGAGAGCTTATTATTGTTTTCTAATTTTGCAGGATTGTGAGATTCGTAATTGAGGATACAATTGAAGAAAGGATCTTAGAGTTACAAGAGAAGAGGAAACTATTTTTTGAAGGGCAAGTAGTACTGTCTTTTTCTTACCGTCGTTTATATGGTTGCATGTATTTGACTAAAGGATATGGTGATGAGTTGAAATTATTTTCATATATTTCCTTCAGTGGGAGAGGTCTTCAGAAGTTATGGAAATCAAGTAATTTTCTTTTAGATGTTACAACTGATAGTGAGAGCCATTTAAAGCCTGTTCATGTTTTCTCATTCAAATAATTCTCAAAGATAAAGCATTTGATGAATGTTATTGACAGCCTTTTTGTTGCATTTTGCTTTTGAGTTCACTTCTTTGCTCCCACTCCCTCCCTCCTCCGCTCTTTCTTTCGAAAACCATTTTTCTCTAACTGTTTGTTTTCCCTCTGACATACTGAACTTCCAAGTTTTTGATTGCAGGACTGTCGGTGGTTCTTCAGATGCCTTGGGAAAGCTAACAAAGTCAGACTTGGATTTCCTGTTTTATCGTCACTTTTAAATGTTTTCTGTTTCTTCAGTTTGGCAAACAAATTCTCATATGCTTTGTATAGCCTCTAGCAAAAACTTTGTACCTAGTGTTCTGACATTTGCCCTTAGGCTGTGCGGCGTTTGATCTATCCTGAGTGAATTTCTGTTGCTTCTGAATCACAGTGATTAGCTTCATCAGTTGTAAATTGTTCTAATTGTTTCCAAATGTGGTCTTCCATTTTAAACTTCACCAGCATGATAAAAAATCCATCTGAATGCATATCTCTATTTGAAATGTGCATCTCTATTTGCCTTTGGTCTGTTAATGTTACATATACATGGTAGTTTCCGACTTTAGGCCCCTTCCAATTCTTTCGCGAATTTGGTGCAGATAAGACAATTCCTTGTTAGATTTTTACCTCTCATACTATGAATAATCAATATTGATTTTTTCTTGGAAACTCCGATGAAAGAAAGATTTACATGCAAATGAAGGATGAGATGTTTGAACCTGTCGTTCACTAGTCCAGCGTGGGAACAACTTATCTATCTGCTAAGGTTTTGATAGAATTCTTGAGTTACTAGGATAGCAGCATCCAATCAGTATCGAAGACTATCTTACAGTTCTGAATCTCAGCTGCATTATGAAAGAAAGTAAAGACAAATGTTCATTTCTAGCAAAGTAATGTCTATGCTCTTAAGCAGATTCAAAAGCACTTAGTTTTATTTCAAGAAAACCATCAATATACAAAATCAATTGGAATAACTACAAAAAAGAACATGATATTCATGTTAGCAAATCATTCACACCAAGGTACCCACACATACAAACACAACACCATTGCTCTTAACTATTCACAACTGCACATTGCTTCCTAATTTCACCAGCAGAGCCAGTCTTGACTTCAATTCTGCTCATTTTCTCCATTGCCTGAGCAAATTCAGCATAGAATTGTTTGAGCGATCCTTGTACTAGCTGGTTGATGTATAACTTTGTTGTCGCACTTGTAGTCAAGGCTGCATCAGATTGGAATAGCCCTCTTCTCTTGAGCAGAAGCTTAAAGTAGCTAAGATCAAATGTCCTGAAACTGCCAGGATCCATTTCAACAATTGTGGTATTGTCATTGATTGATTTGCATTTCTTCACCTTAAGATTAGCTGCATATTCACTGTCTAGAGNGACTTTAATTTGTTGTCGCACTTGTAGTCAAGGCTGCATCAGATTGGAATAGCCCTCTTCTCTTGAGCAGAAGCTCAAAGTAGCTAAGATCAGATGTTCTGAAACTGCCAGGATCCATTTCAACAATTGTGGTATTGTCATTGATTGATTTGCATTTCCTCGCCTTAAGATTAGCTGCATATTCACTGTCTAGAGATGGATCTTGTGTGCCAAAAGCTCCAGTAAAATTGTATAAACGTGTTGAAAATGACGAGCAATGAGAGATTCCAATAGTATGTGCACCTGATAAAAAAATGTTCATAGTAATAATGATTCTTGTTTAGAAAAACAAAATATATGGAAAATCTTAATATAGAAATATGTAGTAAGTACTATTAAACTTACCAGACAATATATAGGACAAAGTCTTTTAGGTCAAAACCCTTGCTAGCGAAGACGTCTGAAGAGTGGAGAAGTTACTAGTCGGAGGAAGGATGTTTGCCAAGGCCTCGGACGCGTTTGATATTCTGCCAACCAGTTAGGGCCTCCCTATCAGTAAAATGGAGGTTGAGCTGTAACTGAGCATGGCTAGAACCTGTTATTCCTAGTAAAATACACAACACTAAAAAATTACTCAAATGGCCAAATTTAGCCATTTTAATTACTTACTTCTTTTTGCAACTTTCGAAAGAGGTCTCTTTCTTTGTTCGAGTTGCTACACACATCAATTCCAAATAGATCTGAGAGAATTTATACACATTGCTTCAGCTAACTTGCATTTAATTTGTTACTATTCATCTTCTTTTTTTATACATAAAAAGATCGATTCGTTATAGTCGGGCTCTTTCATTTAGTTAGATTCATATATCATTATCACATTAATTGGCTGGCCTTTTACAGAATAGGCACATAAACTGATCTTCTGTATTCAAAATTTTTGATAATATCATGGTTATTACCTACTCCTGAAGTTCAAAATGGTATAATGGGTAGTAATACTTGCTACATTAGTTGCCATATATTTTTACACAAATAGCCGGTCATATTCATTATTTACATTTTCTAGCCATGTACATAGTTTATGCACTAACTATATATAATTATACACATATAATACATAAATTACGCATATATTATACATACACCGACTATTTTTAGTTTAAGCGGTTGGGTGGGTGGCTACTTGGATTAATTCTTCTTTTGGATAATCTTGTTTAATTAATGGAAGTAGAGGCCATTTGCTTATTGTTTTTGTTCTGTGTATTAAGAGATAAAAGGCATTTGGTATTAGTAGCTCAATGTGGGGATCAAAATATGTAGTATTAGTTCGAAGTCAAAAGATAAAGGAAAGGTTTTTAAAGCAAACAACACCTGAAATTAAACCACCAACCACTTAATGTACTTGGGGATAATATTGTAGCATATTTTGTTCATTAGCCAACTAATTTTCAAGTTTCATGTTAGCAGTTTCATTTGATCTTATATTGAATAGGTGCCTGAAAAATTTCCTACAAGTTCTTTCTACAAAAATAATGCTTAATTTTTATGTACGTGGAAAAAAATATTAGGCACCTAAAACATTTCCCACATGTTCTTTCTACAAAAATATGTTTCTGCTGGCAAAGTGGCTTAATTTACGTTCCAAATTACAAATAATGGAGAGATTAATTCCAGAATAATTGAAGTTTAGCAAGTCTAATTGATTGGTGGAGGAAAAAATTAACACATTGCACTAGTCTCTCTCTATATATACTATAACTAGTAAATTTGCTCGCGCTTCGCGCGATCATAAAAGACATAAATATATTTATATTGAAATTAGTAAGTTAGTAAGCTAATAATGAAATTAGATGCCATCCCTCAAAAAGCTTATAAAGTACTTTTTTCGTCTATGTGCAACTAAAGAAACACATAAATCACTTGTTAAATTGTTTCATTACACCTTCCTCTTTTCTTCTTTTATCTCCCGCCTCTTCAAAGTTTCTTAGCCAGCATTGTATTAAGGATTAGCTTTTGTTATATACTTATACTTTCTAATACTTGAGTATTGAAATTTGTGAGATATATAACATTTGAAATTAAAAGAAGTTAAAGATAGACTTAAATAAGCAAAGGAATCAAAACTAATTGATTTTCTATAAATTTCAAAAATAGATTACTGTCAAACAATTGACGATGAACTTCACTAATCCTTAAAAAAAAATTAAAAAATCGAAAGATATCAATTAATAAAATAAACTTTGAAGAAAAGAAGCAACCAAAACGGTTATTATATGATTTTGTAACTATATGCAGTTGACATATGTGGATCTTGCTAGCCCCAACTTCTGTGAACCTCCACCTTTGTTCCCATCTCAAGGGTAACACAATGCGCCAGTAAGCATATATCTACTACTCTGCATTTCTTGATGAGATGGGCTGAAGTTTGTTGCTGCCAAATATTTTCCAAGACTTGAGGAAACAGAAAGAATACTATATGACTAAACAACGCAACACAATTAACATTGTCAATTTACAAATTGTTAGTTTTTATCTCAGCCATTAAGAAAATAGTGAATGTAAACTAAAGTGGATCCTCACTTAGCAAATATTGATCTATACCTGTTCTTAAACTAAGGTGCATACTTTAAAAACACCATTAGACTAAGCAAAGGGCTTCCAGATGGTTGCTGCCAACTTAATTTGTATTCATATTAAACAATGGTTAATGAAAGTGGTGAAAGCTTCTATTTGTCGAAGAAAATGTGAAGTTGGAGCAACAACATAGAATCTGATTGTTTACATCTCTTTACCGCAACACAACACTGATTCAACAAACCTCCATGGACCGAAGATATAAAACAAACAAACAGTGACTTGAAAGTTAATATTCCGCCTCATTCTCTGAATAGGGTTACTAAAATAGATGCAGAGGTGATAATTGGCGAAGAGGAGAGAACCGGATTGGTATGTAAACAATAGGAGAAGCAATGTCTATAAAGAAAAACGACAAAAAACTATTAAAGATAAGTTTTTATTGTTAATTCATTCATTCCCAAGTTAATAAACCATAACTGCTATGCAACTTTAAATTTATTTTTGTTTATCCTTTTCTCGTTAAGGAATGTTCTTTCAATCAAGTCTAAGCTCCATATCACTATACTATAATCAACTTTTATAGATAGTGTTGTCAAACATTGTTACTGTGAGCACGTGATTTTTGTTTCGCACGACAATCGCTCCAAAAAGAAATAAAAAATAATAATTGGCCCTGCTGTACAATTTTTGGATTTCTGTGCGGCACCTTGTTGATTTATTTGTGACTTCGGCCCATTTTTATTTATTTACTTTATTAAAATAAAATTATATGTGTCCTGCATAATTCGAACCGTAATCCGGTCGTTAAATAGAAAATCACGAATAGACATCTTCGTCCGTGATTTTATTTTGTTTGACTTTACCTGTTTTGAAATATTTTAGTGTGTGTGCAAATAATTGTATTGAGTGGGTGTTTAATTTTAATTTGATTTTTTGGCTTAGTTTTGTTTTAAAATAAATAAGAAAAAAGAAATAAATAAAAAAAATATATTGAAAGGACCCCTTCCCTTCCGGACTTGGGCCAATTTTAAAAATTGCCCAAACGAACAGCCCAAAACCCAGGCCTGCCCGGTCCAGACCACCTGATGCCCAGAGAATC